TAGGTCACACAGGGACAAGTTGTGTCTCCATCAGGCGAAGGAAGACAGGAATGATTGAATTTTTAGTCTTAGACAAACCCACAATAGCAGAAAACATGAGAACAAGCCAGCAAACAAACATGCATACAAGACCACAAAAAGCAAAATATCAAAAAAATAAGAAACCCAAACAAAATAAAAATGACTTTAGGCAACAGCTAGCAGCTTGAAAACCAAAGGAAAAAAGGAAAGAAAAGGTGGGGGAGGAGGGAACTCAAGCCAGTCCTGGAAGCCCCAGTGTACTGCCAACTTTTGTGGGCACCAAATAGCTACTTTGCAGCAGTAGCTGCAGTCCCAGAATCTTGTCTGTCTAGCAGTGCTCCGCTACTTGGGCTTTTCTTTTTTAAAGCTCCAGCTGTATCAGGCAGCCCTGTTCCTCGGGTGCTGCTTTTTTGTTTTTAAAAAAGTGGCAAGTTGGCTCTGGAAGCCTCTGGGCACTTGCCTGCACTCCCCTTTAGCACTGCTCTGCAGATTTAGAGTTTGAGGGTGGGGGCATGCCTGTTCTGGTAGCTCAAGGCTTTTGGCAATAGGTGCACAGAGACAGGGAGCGTAGTATAGGCTTGGCCTACTAGCTTGTTCCATTTGGTTACCAAAAGGAATAAAGAAAAATGCCCCCTGCTGAATTTGGTAGCAACAATCCACTGACGAATATGTGAGTCTGTGATCCCTCTGTGTACCTGGGAGCCCTAGGAAACCGGGCTGGCTACAATTGCCCTAGCTACTGCTATGCTCTTACAGCCCAGGAACATCGAGAATTGGCCAGGTGGCTTATTCTTTGTTTATATATGGGTTCAGCTCACCTAGCTTTTTAACTTTTGTTTAGAGAGAGATCCGGGGCTCCAGGTTTTTTCTTTGTATTCTCTTTCTTCCATTCTTGTGCAGGGTTTCTGTAGTGTCTGTCTTGACTGCTATTTTTGTTGGAAGTCTTTTACTGTTATGTAAGTTTAACCCCACTTTTAACCCATTGGCAACAATGCTTTTAGCACATTCACCTTCACTTGTTATATATGCAGCTTTCAAATTATTTGAAAGGCTTTGAGCCATTTCTGGCACTAACACTGCTATCAAGTGCATTCCAACTCATAGTGACCCTAGAAACAGATTAGAAACGCCCCCATATGGTTTCTGAGGCTCTAAATCTCTAAAGGAGCAGACAGCCTCATCTTTTTCTTTGCGATTGGCTAGTGGGTTTGAAATGCTGACCTTGAAGTAGAAGCCCAATGCATAACCTGCTATGCCATCAGAACTATGTATATCACCCCCGACTTACCTACAAAATTGACTGAAAGACAGAAAATAAAATTTTTTGAGCCCAATCTATTATATTACATAGGGTCTGAATCTGACTTGAATGGCTAAAAGGTGATTGGATGAAAACACTTATTGGATTAACCTGCCATGAGTGGGATATTGACTTGTTTTCCTTTTGGAAAAACAGTTGAAATTATTTATGACCATGTAAATAAAAAATAGCTACTTTATTTGTATATATAATATAAAGTGGTTGTGTACCTAGAATATTTCAAATAAGGGTCTTAGACTTTCCAAACCTCTCATTCTGCACACGTGTAGGAGCACCTGGCATTGCTCATCAAATGGGTAGAGAGTAGAGGTTAAAAGACCTCGTTCAGTGAATTTAGAGCTGGAAGAGACCTAGATAGGATCTGAAACTAACTCGAAACCAAATTCACTGCCATCACATCAGTTTTGACTCATGGCAACGTTATAGGACAGAGTAGACCTGCTCTTGTTGGGTTTCCAAGTCTGTAACACTTTATGGAAGCGGAAAGTTCTGTCTTTTTCCGGTGGAGTAGTGGGTGGGTTTAAATCCTCATCCTTGGGGTATTATCTAGCCCTCTGATTTTTTTTTATTTTTTTATTGTGGGGGTAGAAGAAGAAATGAATACATTTTACAGCTCTTCCTTTTGGAGAAATTTATAAAATTGGCAATTGTTTCTCTTCAGGAAGAAAATGAACACCGAAGGGGATGTCCCTCCTTCTATGTCCGGTAGCTGTGCTGTGTGTGTCGACAGGGTAATATACTTGTTTGGAGGACACCATTCCAGAGGCAATACGAATAAGGTTAGTGTTCCTAATGATTACAGCTCAAAGTAATTTTATTCAGATTTTCAAGCCATCTCAGATTTCTAAGATTAGCCCCATACTTAGTGTCCCAATTAAAGAGAGATATATTTTCTTTTTATATAATGGCATGGGCATAACTTTGGGCACTTCGTTTACTAGTTTCTATTTACCTAGGTTTTTTGTAAAGTAAACTTTTGTGGCTAACAATTGTAGTTAAATAATTGTTAGGTTGTATTCTTTGCAGCTCTCAGGTCTCTAACAACCTTGCATGATAAATGGATATTAGTAAACAAATTAACCAAGAACATCACAGACAACATATTCTGTGAAGGGTAAAATTGAAGAGTCCACCACCCGGAAAGTCGTAACAATAAGCTAACACACAATCCCATGTACTGCATTCCTGTGTCCTGGTGGCATCGTGGGGTATGAGCTGGGCTGCTCGGCGCCGGCAGTGTGAACCCCCAGCTGGGGAAAGATGAGCTTTCTGCTCCCACAGTGTGTACGGCCTTGAACATCTATGGGAGGGTGGGGCAGTTATCTATCTTACAGGGTTGCTATGAATCAGAATGAAGTCATTTGCAGTGAGTTTGTTGTTTTTTAATGGTGCGGTAAGAGCCCTGGTGACCCTCTCAGGTAAGCATTGGACTATTGGCTGCAAGGCTGATTCCTCAGCCACCGGTCACTACTTGGAGAAAGATGAGGCTCTCTGTTCCCGCAAAGATACAGTCTCAGAAAGCCTACATAGGGCCACTCTGGGTTGTAATCCTTTCAGTGGTTGTCGGTTTGTTTTTGTTGTAATAGAGCCATAGATTGGTTTGTTTTCCAAATAGGAAGCAGATGTCCATTGTTGTTCTAGTCAGGTACGAGACATGAAGCCATTCAGAAAGGCACTCATTGGTAGACTGATAATTTATTTGGCTACTCGGTATCTTATCTGCTGAGCACTTGGTTGGTTGGACATTGGATACACAAAGATGAATGATAGAGTCCCCATGTCTAGGAGCTCACATTCTAGGGCATAAAAGTAGTTGCAGCAGCATAGTGATAGAGGGGACAGAGATTACAGTAAGTACTGTTGAATGTAAAATGGAATCCCTAGCATTGTGGTAGGATGGGGAGTGGAATAAGGAAAAGCTTCACCTAGGAGTTAATGCTTGGACTGAACTGTACATTGGAAGAGGTAACCAAAAGAGTTATCGAGATGCAGAAATATGAGAATGTTTTTTAAGGTAATGTCAAATGGTTTGGTGTAGGTAGAACCTACTTCTGAGATGGTTTCAAACTGTGACTCTAAAAAGATGACCAGGATCTGACTTGTTTGAAGGACACTTATATTTAATCTTTTAAATAGTTAACCTCGGCTTTTAGAGTTAAGTAGGCAAGTGTTGTTACTAGGTCTTCAGTACATAGATGCAGAGGGTTGTTCCAAACAAAATGTACTCTCAGTAATACATTTGTCTCAGTCTCATTAGTCCAATCAAAACAATGGCTTCCAAGGGGGTATGTTGGGTGAGCTCAGAGTTAGAGATTGTTTTGGGGGTGTGTTTTTTGTATTCCAAAGGGGTAATCTTGATAGATTTTCACAAAGGATACAGGATGATCGTGCATGCTTAATTTGAAGACGTTTTTTTAAAACTGAAAAGCGTATTGGTTAGAAAAGGGCTGGTAAGCTTGCACCAAGGAATTTTCCCCCGTCTCATTGTACCTGTTAATCCTTCAAGGATAGCAAGAACTGTCCTGTAAGAATTTTGCTGGGAATCCTTAGCCCATTCACCCATAGCCCTGATCTTGCCCCTTCAGACTTTTTTTTGGTTCCCCAAAACTTAAAAAATAAATTTTCTTATAATTTAAAGTTTGAGTCCCTCGAGGATGCTAAAACTGCTGTTTTGACATGGTGTAAGTAAAAGGCAGACATTTGGGGGGAAGGTTAGAGACAGAAACAGCCTGTAGAAGTGTATAGGCCTAGGCTGTTGAGAAACAATAGCTCCATGTTTTGATAAGTGTATTTAGTAAGGTTTCTATGATTTGTAAGCGCCTTGCTAGCACAGTGGTTTGTGCATCAAGTTGCTAAATGAGAGTTGAACCCACCAGTCACTGCAGAAATAGGCTATCTGTTCCTGTAAAAACTTAAATCTCAGAAACCCAAAGGAACAGTTTACTGCTCCGCCCCATAGGGTTGCTGAGAGTGGGATGTTTTTTGGGTGGTCTATGATTGCATAGCAGTACTTTTTACTTACCTTTGTAGGCCTGTTAATGAACTTGATGGTGAAATTTGCTAAATCTGTTTGTTTTGGGTGATACTATTCTGTTCAGAGTAAGAAATAAGGAGCTTGTGCCAGGATGTACCAAGATGTTGCTTCTTCCTTCATCTAAAGAGTCTTGGTGACTTAATTTATATTCTGGTACAAGTTCCTTTTCTAGACTCAGACCATTAACGGTTAGCAGCCAGTCTGCAATTCATACTTGCAGTAGCATGAATTATGGCATTCTTTTTGTAACTCAGAAAATTAGATGCCAAAGTTGACTTGCTTTCACCCAACCACATCTAACTGAAATTACCTCTGACAGTTCTATATGTTGGATTCAAGACCGACAGACAGAGTGTTACAGTGGGAAAGAATGGACTGCCAAGGGATTCCTCCATCATCAAAGGACAAACTAGGTGTCTGGATATATAAAAACAAGTGAGTTAACAGCACTGTAGTAGGGTTTGCATGTGGAAAGTGTTTTAGCCAATAAGCATTTAACCATAGAACATACTTTATCACTGTTTTGAGGATTAAGTGAATTAATACATGAAAACACTCAGAGCACCTAAGGCAAAAGTACAAAATAAAAAACGTAGATATTTGATAATTATTTTCATGTACCTGTGTCTTTAGCATATGACAAATCTTTTTATTTTTTAATAAATAGGCTAATATTTTTTGGAGGGTATGGATACTTACCTGAAGAGAAAGTCCTAGGAACTTTTGAATTTGATGAAACATCCTTTTGGGTAAGTGAAATTTCATAATTATATATGGTCTACTTTAGTATGCAATTTTTACTTCTGTAAGGGTTGTTTTGCCTTGTCAATAAATCACAAGTATATATAATTTTACAGACAGTCTTCCTTATCTTTCCTAGAATTCAAGTCATCCAAGAGGATGGAATGATCATGTACATATTTTAGACACTGAAACATTCATTTGGAGCCAGCCTATAACTACTGTGAGTGACTGAAGGATGCTTAAGGCAAGGCTACCTAGAGCAGTGGTTTTCAACCTTCCTAATGCCGCCACCCTTTCATACAGTTCCTCATCTTGTGGTGACCCCCACCATAAAATTATTTTCGTTGCTACTACTTGTCATTTTGCTACTGTTATGAATCAGGCGACCCCTGTGAAGGGGTCGTTCGACCCCCCACAAAGGGGTTGCGACTCACAGGTTGAGAACTGCTGACCTAGAGAAAGAGAGTGGTATCAGAATTGGACTTCCCTGGATGATACAAATGGCCAGTGAGCTGCTATCCAAAAGATTGTTGGTTGGAGTCCACCCAGAAACATCTTAACAGAAAGGCTGGGTTATTGTGATTGACTTCTCAAAAATAGCCACTGGAAGCCTTTCAGAGCACTGTTGTGATTCACATGGAGTCGCCAAGAGTTGCAGACTCCATAGCAACTGGTTTGATTATCAGAATTAGGATGCGATATGAAATTGATGGGCCATTTTTCTTTTGTAGAGAGACAATCCATAGTTTTCAATCTTTCAGAAGTTCAAGACAAAAAAAAGCTTAATGTTTAAAGAACATCTCCTTAGCTAAATTTTAAATAGTAGTTGCTATTGTTTGTAATTTAACTAATGACCTAACTCACTCGCTGCCATCAAGTTGAGGCCGACTATCATAGTGAGTGACCCTGTAGACAGGGTAGAACTGCCCCTGGGAATGTCCGAGACTGTAACTGTTTCCTGGAGTAGAAAAGCCCCATCTTTCTCCCAAGCAGCAGCTGCAAACCTTGTGGATCGCAACCCAATATGTAGCCACCACTTGGCAGAATGACCTAACCGATTTTAACCTCTTATTACACGAGACAGGGCTTTAAAAAGTTTGTGGAAAAATCCCATTATCTTTTATTCTTTTTTCCAAAAATTTTTGAAGCCCACTCATAATGTGCTACCATGTAAAATAGAGCAGCACTAGGTTACATTAGCTAGCTCCGCCAGTAATACATCTCAGAAATAAGTAAAACCTTAGGTTTTGGTAGTGTTCCTACCACGTTGATAAGACTGCTTCAGCTTAAAAAATCAGGTGCCTTGTAATATTCTTAATTGCATATTCAGGGAATAACATTTATTTCTGTTATTTCCCTCCATTTATAAAAAAAGTTCAATTATTACACTGCTCTTCGTGTTAATAGGGGAAAGTACCTTCACCCCGTGCTGCCCATGCCTGTGCAACGATTGGAAACAAAGGCTTTGTGTTTGGAGGCAGATACCGTGTAAGTATCTAAAGTATTCGTGACCTGCTTTTGAATGATTCAAAGGATAACTCTGAGTGTCCTTTTTCAGGATGCTAGAATGAATGACCTTCACTATCTTAATCTGGATTCATGGGAGTGGAATGAATTGTAGGTATCACTTTAGATTTATTTTCTATTTAGTGTGCGTGTGTTTACATACGCACGTGGTAATACTTAAATTTCCTTGATGTATTTAATATGATCTGTAGGATCCTTAAAAATTGTATTTTCATTTTGTATTTGATTCCCATTACCTGTTTAGCTGGGGCATAGAATATGCTCATGATTGTTGAAATAGTCTTAAGTTGACTGCATTCAAAGAGAATCATTCATTCGATATAACACATATCTTTAACACCAAGAAGCCTTTTTAAAGTCTGTCATCAATTCCATAACAATTTTAAGAGAGAACTTTAACTAGTATTTCTCTGCATTAAATATAGTAGCTGCTTTTAAACACAGATACTGTAATGTAGCTGTTATTTTCAGAATTCCACAAGGCATGTGTCCAGTTGGTAGATCTTGGCACTCATTAACACCAGTTTCTTCAGATCATCTTTTTCTCTTTGGAGGATTTACCACTGATAAACAGCCATTAAGTAAGTCTTTTTAACAGTATAATGAAATCATTATATTAATAGCTGGGAAAAGGTACTTTAGATGTACTGAAAGGTTTGCTATTAGTTTTGATCCTATAAACATATTAATAATGACTCACAATCTGATTACCTTTTCTGCAAAAGCTGTCCCCTTTAAATCTTACTGTCACCTTGATAGAAAACATACTTTATTACTTCATAGGTTTTTTTTATTCCTTTGCTTCAACCAGGTGATGCCTGGACTTATTGTATCAGTAAAAATGAATGGATACAGTTTAATCATCCCTACACTGAAAAACCAAGGTATGAACTATTGAAAAGGTAATTCTTACTCTAAATTAATATGAACATTAGAGATGCAATGCTAAGAATTGAGGGTCTTTGGGCTGCATTAAATACATTGTTCTTATAATAAAGAACTAAGTTTTAAGGTCACATTTTCTCAAAGAAAACCCAACGTTATCAAATGCTTTTCCATTTTTTGAGTGAAAAATAGGGCTAAAATTTGGTTGTCTTCTTTTACCATAAAACTATTCATAAAACCACAATTAAAAGTATTTTTACCTAAGTGAGTTGAACTACATCAAGGTTTGTCATTTTTTATAAAGGAACTGGGAAAGTGGGCAAATTTTAAAAGCTATCGAGAAAAAAAACTATCAAGAATGCACATGGAAAAATCAATTTTCTGTTGAATTTATAGTAATGCTGTATTGCATTTATTTAGAACTTAGCCAGAAGAAATATGTCTTAAATATTTGTTCCTAAGTTGATGATTACTTTGTTGTTTTGACTAAACATAATTATTACAAAGATTGCCAAAGTAAAGGATTCAGTAAAAAATACATTCAGAGCACATTTAGAAGTTAATCTGGCTTTTTTTCCCCTCCTCAAACCAAAAACCTATGTTAAGTCATGCCACCAGGAGGCCGTCTCTGCTACATATGTTCCCTCCATAGAACTGTGGGGCGGTTCTGCATTAGGCTGCTAACAGCAAGATCTAACTTCCAGTCACTAGCTGCTCGCGGAAGAGGGCGGCGGTTTTCTACTCCCTGCAAGACGGATGGTTATGGAAACCCACAGGAACAGTTGTATTCCTGTTTCACTGGGTCGCTGTGAGCTAGAATCAACTGGATAGCAGTAATGTTGGTTTGGAGGGCTTTAGCATACCTCATGTTTTGTGTAAGACAGTTGGTTTGACCTATGGACCAGACAAAACAGCATAGATCACCCAATCTCCCGGAAGACTGGCTCTAAAAAGACCTAGAAAACAGAGCATTCTAGTGAAAAAACCACACTGCAGTTTTGGTAGCTTTTGTTTTTTTGAAGATATTTTATGCTACGATGCTTTGGTCTGCTCTCTAAAAAGAGCCCTTGCCCATTTGTATAAACAAACACTGAATTTGATTTTCTTCAAACTTTGTGTTTGCTTTAAATGTAGGTTATGGCATACAGCCTGTCCCAGTGATGAAGGAGAAGTAATTGTTTTTGGTGGGTGTGCCAACAATTTGCTTGTCCATCACAGAGCTGTAAGTATAGTTTCCTGTGGAAAAGGATACTTTGTAAAAATTACTGAAACTTATTTTGTAGCATTACTTTGTGTTCTTCAAATCTGTCTTTCAGGCACACAGTAATGAAATACTTACATTTTTAGTTCAGCCAAAATCTCTTGTAAGGTAAATAATTTTAATTGGCCCTTAAATTATTTTAATTATTTTAACAAACCAAGTTTATGGACTATCTGAGGGCAATAGAGTTATGTTTTTTTCTTGGAGGGAGGGGTAATTTAAGTGAATGTACCTCTGAACTATAAATGAAATTATTTTTCTCTTTCCTGTCCACTTTCAGGCTAAGCTTAGAAGCAGTTACTTGTTTTAAAGACCTATTAGCCAACTCATGGAACTGCCTTCCAAAACACTTACTTCACAGTGTTAATCAGAGGTCTGGTAGTAATAACACTTCGGGATCTTAAGGTCTCATGAGGCCTCTGATTACCTTGCATGGACAGCAATTCTGTAACATCACAGACTGGTATAATTATGTGCATTTTTGTAGTTTGCAGCTTATTAATTTTAATGTGCATGTGAATGGCATAGAGAACCTATTTTTATGTCTAAGATGTTTGCAATAAACGTATTTGACATTAGGGGGATTTTACCCCAAGGAATGTTATTTTTTTCCTTTTTGTAATTTCAGGCCATATACACCTGTAGACACATATTCTTAGCATTATCAAAGTAGACAAGACTATTTGTCTAGTCCAGGCGTCCTCAAACTGTGGCCTCCCCCCCAGTGTTTTTTTACTTCAAAAAAAAGGTATGTGCAGTCTGCATCGGAATTTGTTCATATATCCGGCCCTCCAACAGGTCTGAGGACCCCTGATCTAGTCTGTCATTCCAAATATAACATAGTGTGTTAAAAACACACTGAGTTCAAATGGAAAAATATCAATAGGAATAAGCTAGTAAAAGAAAAACATGGAGTGACCAATTGGTCACTATGAAGCCCATCAGCCGTTGTGGAGTCAATTAAATTTTGTAGCTCACTAAATAATGAGACTTGGTGTCCGTTGAGGTAGTTCACTTAGCAGACAGTAGAAATCTGGGTCAGGAGTCTTTAGCTAGCAGTCTTTTTACATAATTCTAGGTTAAGGTAAAATGGCATATTAATATCAAAATGTGAAGATGTATAAATGTATCAAAATGATCAATTCGAACTCCTTTAAGGTATTTTTTTTCCCCTCCAAGAAAAGGTAGCTGAAGGTACAATCTCATCTGCTCCTTTAGTACTCAGGGTTTCTGAGACAGAAGCCTAAATGTTCAGCTGCCTCCCACTATCCCAGCAAAATAAAACACGGTTTTTGATTAGCCTCTGAGTCATATATAGGTATATATATTAGAATTTATATACAGAATATCAAGTAAATGAATACTCATATTAGCCTCTCAATTTTCAAGTAAATGTAGGGAATAACTATAGCTGTATACAATCATAGTATTTAAGTTTTAAGTATCCACAAATATTTTAGGAAATCCTACCATATACTGTTTCCTCTATATAAAACGGAGAAAAAAACAAGAGGAAGTCCTTTTGGCAAACAGCAAGGCAATCTTTAGTTCATTATTGAAATTCAGAAGTCTTATTACATGATGTTTTCAACTTCCAAAAGGCTACAAAATTGGCTCTTCTCATATTTTAGTATTTCATTTCAGCTATTTCTTTTTTACATTCAGAAGATTGGGCGCAGACACTTTCACTTTGCCAGGGATGTTTCTTGATAAATCTGTGTCCTAAAAACAAAAAGAAAACTGTTAAGTATTCTGCTGTCAAAAGAATGTTTTTTAACTGTATTTCACTATTTCACCAAACAAATTAAGAACTTTCTAACATTTTTGTCTCACTACCAACCTCAGCAGCAGCCCTGGTAGTAGAGTAAGTGGGCTACACACTTGAGCCGCTAACCACAAGAGGCCAGTGGTTCAAACCTACTAGCTATTTGGTGGGAGAAAAGGTAAGGCTTTCTGTTATGGGCAGTAACCTAAGTTCTGGAACAGAGCGTCACCTTTACGCTGCGGAATAAGTCCTTTTCCCTGGCGGTTGCTTCTTTGGAATGCATGAAACTAGTCAAGGCTGTTTTTGCAGCTGTGTAAATAGAAAATAGAAAAATCTTGTTTCTGTTCATCCAGGGAACTGTTTAAAATTATAATATAAAAAGTGAGGAAAATACCTTTTCCCTTTTTCTGAACTCCAGGAGTAAGCTTCACTTTATATCTTTAAAAAGGAATCACATGTGTTACTACTACCATAAGATTAGAAACAAAATTCATGATTGTCCGTTTTGAGTAAACTAAGGGTGACTCACTTATAGTTAGCCATGGTGGTGTAAGGGGCACATATTGGAATGGCAAATAGTAGAATATCTTCAAGATGTGGCTGCCCTGTCAAAGAATCAAACAGATTTTCCTAAAAGTGGAAAATAAAAACAATTATAAACCAATCCTAAAAGTAGATAACTTTGAACAACTTTATAACTCTAATAATGATGTTGAGATATATTTACTATTTTTGCATCATGTGATGAGAACGATTTTCAAATAGCAAATACATAAAATTTACAAAGATGAAGGAGAAAAGTGGGTTGGATATCATACAGAAAACGGAACTTCTGTATGCGTGAGACCAATGGTGCTTTATTTTCACTTCCCCTTCCAAGACACTCGGCAAAGTCTGGAAAGAGCTTTTGTTGTCACAGCTGGGGGAGGCCAGGGATATTAGTAAAAACCCTAAAGGTACTTAAGGAGTTTCCAGTGGTTTTGTCTAACACAAGAATATATATAAATGGACAAAGTTTTATATATATAAATGTTTACTAGGTGCGAGAAACTTCAAAATGCCTTACATGATTTGCATTCTTAGTCACTTTAGACTGCAGACCCTTCAAACTTAGCCTTTTTAGTTTTAAAGATTTTCTGTCAAATGAGAGTGTTACAGTAGAAACAAACAAAATCATACCTCATTGCCCTGTGGATCCAGATCTTGCTCTTCCTGCTCCAAACACATAAAAACAAAAAAAGGTCAGTCATAACTGAAGTTTAAATCGCCTATCATAAATCATGAGGTAAAAGTAACAAGTCTTGAGAAACAAGACTCACAATCTAACCCACATGCCAGGGGTCCTAAGGTGGTTTTTCTCAGTGTCCCAAGACCTTGAAGTAGATTAATTTTTCAGAAAGCAATATCATTCAAGAGAAATAGGAAGAGTTTCTGAAATTTAAAATGACTAAGCTTGCTGTATCTGCTAGGGATAAGAATACGGGAAATTCTGCAAAGTACATGACTTAAAAAGGAAAGTTCCCCCTCATGGAAGGGTCACAAGGAAAGAATGAGCCAGTGTGCAACCTAGCACCAATAGAACACACAACATTCCTCTAGCTCTTTAATGTCCTTACCCCCACTATCCTGACCCCAGTTCTACCTTATACATTTGGCTAGACTGGAGCATGTACACTGGTACAGATGAGCGCTCACGACAGGTAATCCAGGACAGATAAACCCCTCAAGAACAGTAATGGGAGTAGTGATGCCATGAGGGTAGGGGAAGGTGGCGAGAAACCAGGAACCAACTACAATGATTGACGTATAATTCCCTCACCCCAGGGTGAGGAACAAGAGAAATGTGAGTGGAGACAGACAGCAGACTGTGTGAAATATGAAAATAATTTATCGGGTCCACAAAGGTGGGTGGGAGGGGAAAAAAGAGGAGCGGATACCAAGGGCTCAAGCAGAAAATGTTTGATGTATGGGTTATTGTAAGAGCTGTAAGAGCCCCCAATAAAATTATTTATTTAAAAAAATTCTATTCAACAGCTTTAGGATAATTTTTCATAAAAACAAAAAAGATAAGCGTAATTTATTTACTTAGCCAAGAAAAAGTCTACCTGAAGATAACCTACTCATGAATGCTATTTAGCCTGGTGGGTTAATCAAGTGCAATGTCGCCCAGAGGAAGTGCTGAGAGCCAAAGGAAGTAGAGGAAAGAACTAGGAGTCTAAGGATATTTACAGAGGCATAATTACAGGCATGTACATATGTAAATATATATATAGGTCTATGTACATATATTTATACGTTAAGTATTAAGGTAGCAGACGGACACTGGACCTCTATTCAGGCACTCCCTCAGTGCAGGAACACTTTGTTCTCATAATCTGGTATTCTATGCTCACTTTTTCCAACACGATCGCTGAAGACAATGGGAGCATAAGCAAATGTGATGAAGAAAGTTGATGGTACCTGGCTATTAAAAGATACAACATCTAGGGTCTTAAAGGCTTGAAGATAAACAAGTGGCCCTCTAGCTGGGAAAAAACAAAGCAACATGGAAGACGCACACCAGCCTGTGCAATCATGAGGTGTTGATAGGATCAGACCCAATGCCTATCTATATACAATTGGACATCCTCTCACAGCAGGGTCACAAGGAAGGGGCCAGCCAGCCAGGGTTCAGTATACACCGATGAAACAACATTCCTCTAGTTCTTTAATGCTTCCAATTCCCCACTATCATGACCCCAGTTCTACCTTACAAATCCGGCTAGATCAGAGCATGTAGTACAGATAAGAGGCCCTGACACATGGAATCCAGGACAGATAAACCCCTCAGGAACAGTAATGGAAGTAGTGATACCATGAGGGTAGGGGGGAGAAAGGGGAGCCGATTGAAATGATTAACATTAACACACACCCACACAAACAGGGTGATGAACAAAAGAAACAGTTGGAGGGAAACAGGATGGTGTAAGATATGAAAATCATAATTTATCAAGGGTTCATGAGAGTGGGAGGGGAGGGAGGGCAAAAAAAGCTGATACCAAGGGCTCAAATATAAAATGTTTTGCAAAAAAATTTTTTAAATGTTTTCAAAGGATGATGGAAATATATGTACAAATGTGCTTGACACAATTGATGTTTGGTTATACGAGTTGTAAGTGTTCCCAGTAAAATGATTCATTAAAATTTTAAAAGGACAGATTGAATTTATTAGGATACCAATTATAAAAACCAAAAATTATGAAATGTAAAAAAAAACTTTTTTTACTACATCAGAACTGACTTATGATTGAATGGTTAGAATAAAGCCCCAGGTCTGGTAAGTCAGGAATAACCTGTATATAAAACCATTGAATTGTTTAAAAAAAAAAACAAACCTCTTTACTAGTAATACCTCTCATGAATATTTAAGTCCTGTTTTAAAAACAAACATGGTTTGAATGTTACCTAAAAACACTGTTCTGCAAGGAAAAAAATATATATATATAAAATCACTGTGTTATCTTCCCAGTCCAAACCCTAGCCTTCATTACTATAAACAAAAAATAAGGCTGGCTCATGAAAAGTTTTTTATTCAGCCTGTAGTTTAAGCATACTTGTAACAACTGTATCCATTTCCAACTAGAAACTAAAAATGCTTCTCCATAAAACTTTTCTAAAACTCATCAACTGTCAACACTAGCATTTTAATGTGTACACACTAATTTTAGGCTGTATTTTTTAAGATACCTTTCCATCAAGAATAGGGTTACCAACTCTTCCTTGTTTTAGCACAGTAAGTCCTGGGAAAACTGGGAGATTAGTAGCCCTAATTAAATCAAAGGCTTACTACCTTGTCATCATGCGGATCCTCTGCAGACAGGTCTTTCAACTCAGGAGTTAGGACCGCTAGGGAGGGAGTTTCTTTCTTGAGGTCAGCCACTTTGGGCCCACTTCTAGGTTTCTGAGGCTGCTGCTTTACAGGTTCATCTTTTGTTTTCCCTTTTTTTCCTTTCTTCCCCTTTTCTTCTTTATTTGAGCCTGCAGACTTAATTCATACAGAGAAAATTTATATTTAACAGGTATTTCTTGAATACCTAACATGCTGGGCAATGTGCCCATTAAAAAGTTAAGGAAAATGTTTTCAGATATTTCTTACCCCCAGCAATTTCATGATAAGCTCACGTTCTTCTTCATCCTGGTCTTTATATTTTTCCTTCATTTTTTTCATTTTACTCTTCAAAAGAAAAAAAAAAAGACATTAAACTATGTAGCCATAAGAGGAACCTTCCAAGAGTTTGTAGATAATGAAATTAAAAGATAATGGAAAATTTCCACTAACTTTATGTACAGAAAGAAAAAACCACCTGCCGTCAAGTGGATGCCGACTCATAGTGAATCTAAGACGGCAGAACTGCCCTGTGAGTTTGAGACTGTTACGCTCTCCTGGAGTAGAAAGCCCAGCCTTTTTCCCATGGAGTGGCTGGGGTATTTTACTGCTAACCCTGAAGTTAGCAGCCCAACCAATAACCACTACACATCAGGGATCCTTTATGTAAAGAAAGGGTTTTAAATTTCTGCCAAACATGCTTACTGAGCAAGGAATCATTGTAATAAACAATATGGAGGCTACAAAGATGAATAAATTATACATTCACCCTCAAGAAATTACCCATTTGAGCGAAAGAGACGGAGGAATAGATAGATTAATGCAGTTTAGTTTACATTCCATACGAGATGTACAAACATTGTTAGGCACAAAAATTATGGAAAAGAGCACTCAGCTTGAGCAAAAACTGTGGGAAGAAATAAAACTTTTTGTGTGAACAAAAGTTGTTTGGAAGCAAAAATTTACTATCTTTGGACAAAACGTGCAAGAAATCTCAATAAAAAGGTAAAGAGTAGAGTAGGTCCTCCTGTGAGTGGAGTCAGGAAATAGTGAAGGCACAAGAAATGAGGCAGCAATGACGATGACAACAAATGTCCTTGACAGTGGATGGATGGATGGATTGTGATGAGTTGTACGAGCCCCTAATGATTTAAATTTTTAAAAAGGCAGCAAAGCCAGAATGCACAATTGTTAGTCTGAATTTTATTTATTAAACCAGTGATTCTGTACTCAGGCTTTTGTTTTACAGCTCGATGCCTGGGCTGCATATCCAAAGATACCTATTATTATAGATATGGGTCTTGACTAGTCAGAGTAGGACCCAGATAATACATTTCTAAAATTTAAGATTTCTGTAACAAGACACACACACCCGCTACCCCCCCCACCCCACCCCCAAAATTTAGTAAATCAGCCTTAGGTTATAAGATCAACAAATTCTTCTAATTAAAAAAACAACACACCTATGTTCATTACAGTATTATTTACCTCATCAAAAGAGATAACCTAAATAACCAAGAACGGATAAATAAGGAAACTGGTGCCTACGAACAAATGGCAAATTCACAATATTAAATAAGGAATCTTTGAAACATCTCAGAACAAGGATAATCCTAGCAGACATTGTATTAAGTACTTAATGAAAGGTACATCTTATAGGGAACCACTATTTAAAAAACAAAAAACGTTTATACATAGGTGAAAAAAAAACAAAAAAACTTGCTGGTTACCAGAGATGAAAAGGGAACAATATAACTAATTGGAAGAAAATTACTGAATAGAGGACACATGGTAAAGTGAAATTTCTTAGTATCCATAATCCCTTTCTTAATATAGTGTAAATTCTAACCTCTGTGCCTGTGGTTATAATCTCATTTTGGAGGGAGTTTACTAGTGGACAGGATCAAGGTGGGTTGTATTCTGAGTCTCCACATTAGTACAAGGTGTGAACCAGGTCATCGACCTTTGTCTCCTTTGGGTATGGTTGGCTGAAAGACAAAAACCACACTCCTCTAAGAGAAAGCATCTTGGAAAATTTCTGGGACCATCAAGAAAAGAGGTACCAGCTGAGGCTCTTTGAAATTCGTGCATTAAGTTGTGGAGACAGCTGACCACCTCAAGACCAGAGGCCAAAGCAAGGTCACGTAACAGCAGAGGAGCATGCATATTCCTGGTCCATGGAGGCAGAGACCAGAGAGAGACTGAGGAGAGGTGATGCTGTGGACCAAAGATGTTTTTATGATTCTGACTTGCTGACCTGTTAACTTCCCCAATAAACCCCAATAATCTTGAGTGCTGTGAATTCTGTGTAGCTGTCAAATTGTTGAGCCTAGCAGGAAAGTAGAGTAATACGGAAAGAAAAGTTGGTGTCACAATAAAGGGTGGAGGCATGTCTGATCTCTGCTTTGTGGCAATTGACTCTGGGTTAGTGTGGAGATGGATTCTCCTCCCTCAGGTAGCCATAGGAGGTCAGGTGTGGCCTCTGCTCCACTTTTCTCACACTTATGCCAAATAATAGCAACCAAAAAAGCTATAGACAATGTAAGTGAAGTTAGTACAGCATGACCAAGAAAAGGAATACAAGAATAAATGGCAATTATGGTCATAGATAATCCTGCAGTAGGTAAGATGAGCAAACAGTAAATTTACAAACAATATTGGTAGTTAAGTATGCTAAAGAAGTGTTCGAGGATTCAAGGGAGCACTCCCAGCTGCAAATACAAGTTTGGGTGCAGATATTTCAGTGTAATTGTAGGGGCTGAATGTACATTAATATATGGAACAGAGCACACGGGACCACAGCCATGGAAACGTAGACAGCGAAACACTTTCACAGGCTGAAGTAACCGCTTGAAAGCAAAGGCTTGGGGGACATCTATGCCAACTGGCACAATATAATTCATAAAGACAAATGTTATGCATCTTTAGTGTATTGTGTCTGGGGTCTTAAAAGTAAGTAAATGCCCAACTAATATCTAATTACGGATTTCTTCAAGTCTGAGGCAAAGGGGAATGAAGAAAACCAAAGACTCAACAGACTAATGGACCACGTGAACTCTGGGCGCAGAACAAGATGGTGTGCCACCACCGTTGCCCAACAGTCTGGAACTCGTAACAGAAGGTTCTGGGCAGAGTGGGAGGAAAAGGTAGGAAAAGTAAAATACACCAAAAACGCCAGCTGTATTGGTCTGACAGGAAAGACTGTGGGTTCTAATAGACCTTTCTGACTTAGGACTGAAGCCATTCCACTTTTCAGCCAAGTGTTAAGATTGTGTTCCTTAAAATAATTATATGAGATTCAAAAAGACATTTATCCAAACACAAAAATGAGAAAGCAGTGAAGGGCTAGAAAATTCAGACAAAAGGAAACAAAACACCCAGGACACAAACAGAAAGAATGGTTGACACACTTTAGGAAATGCATTCAATATCATGGAATACTTTGTGTACAAACCATTAATGGGAAACTAATTTGCTCACATAAAGCAATATTAAATAACAATAGTTTAAAAAAATGCATCCCTAGGTTCTTCACAGCATTATTCACAATAGCAAAAAGATGGAAACTAAGTGTCCATCAACAGATAATGGGTACAGTTTGGTTCATACACACAATGGAATACGCTGTGAAACAGAAAAATGAACCCATGAAGCATCTCACAACATGGATGAACTTGGCTTTATACTAGGGAAATCAGGAACAAAAGAAATACTGTATGGGATCAATATTACATGTCAGGAAAAGGTTTGTACACAGAAGGACACATTCTTTGTTAGTTATGGGGATGGCAGCAGGGGAAGATCACTAACTAGATAATAGATAAGGAGCCCTGGTAGTGTGGTGGATTATGCTGTGGTCTTCTAGAACTGTAAGGCCAGCAGTTTAAAACCACCACCAGCTCCATGAGAAAAGATGAGGCTTTCTACTCCCATAGATTATAGCCTCAGAAACGCAAAGGGACAGTTCTGCTCTTTGTTACAGACTTGCTGTGAGCTGGAATGACAATAGCAGGGAGCTTGAGTTTCTGGAAGGCTGGATAAGCCTTGAAAGACTTCTGTGGAGTAACGCCTACATACCTACCAGAGCCATAGTGCGTATTCAGAGACAGGAACTCTTTAAGTGGCAAAGATGACAATTCTCCACAAAATAATCTAAAATTATAAAATTTTAGTAAGATTTCAATAAAATTTAGTAAAAATTTAATCAGGATTTATTTGGAAACATGGACTATATAAAAATTTAGATTATTTTAATGTTTGATGTTATTATGGCCAACTTGATAAACATCCTTTATGTATAGCCATGACTTTTTCGGTAGAGGTAGGTTTATTGTGCCAACCTGGTCAATAGGAACATGTGGGATTAACAGGGTCAGTTTGATTGGAGGGAAAAGAGACAAATGGCTCGGCAGGGCCTGCCCCTCTCTTCTCTTGCTCTCTGGTGATTTGACCAGCATGCAGCTACTTCAGCTAGTTCTCTGCCTCAGCTTGTGAGCTACACTACCTGTGGGACAGCCAACCCGTGGATCGTGTTGCTAGAGCTTGAGGTTCCTTTGAGACTTGTTATGCCACGCTGCTGGTGTATACATCACTTGGGCTAAAGGTTGGCAGATTCTGTCATCTTGCATTGCTTGAATTCAATATGCCATCCGGGCCTGCTTTGCTAAGCTCCTGAGCTGCTGACTGTTGGTGGCTTGCCCTGCTGTTTGCTGCTTGTGGCTGGACTTGCCTGCATTGCCCTCAGGAAAACTCAGCTGTCTGCTTCCTTGACCATGGACCCAGCAGCCCTCCTGAGTTAAAGGACTTCCAGTACATTAGCTGTTCCATGAAAGTGAGTTGAACTGAGCCCTCCATACTGCTGTGTGGACTAATTAGCTGTTACATTCCTTCAGGGTGTGTGTGTGTGTATGTGTCATTAAATGTCCTGGTTTTGTTTCTCTAGAGAACCATGTCACAACAGGTATAATTCCACTTCTATGAATTCCTATAATTGGAATGTACCCTACCAAAAAAAAAAAAAAAAAGTCAAAGAGTAGATTCATTACCCGGAATTCCATGGTATGCATACAACATTTACTAAATGATTAACATGTCTCAAAAACAAAACCAAACTCACTGCCATCAAGTAGATTCTGACCTGGTGGTGTAATCGGGCTGCCAACCCAAGTCAGCAGTTTGTACCCATCAGCTGCTCCTCCGGGGAAAGATGAGGCCTTCCTGCTCCATAAATATTTATAGCTCACTGTCCTATAATGTCACTCTAGAATGAGATTAACATGTACTTACTAAGGAACCCTGGTGGTGCTGTAAGCTAGGTATTGGACTGCAAACCACAGGATCAGTGGTTTAAACCCACAGCTGCTCCACAGGAGAAAGATGAGGTGTTCTGCTCCCATGAAAATGCAAGCCTTGGAAATCACATAGATGATCACTGTGAGTCAAAATCACCTATATGGCAGTGGGTTTTAGGTATATACTAATTTTATGGATTAAAAACAAATCCCAGCATAAAGAACCCTGGTTTAAACCCACTAGTCACTCTGTGGGAAAAAGATGAGGCTATATCTTGCTCTGTACAGATTACAGAAACCCAAAAGAGCAGCCCTACTCTACCCTTAAGTTTCTGTGAGTTGGAATCAACTCAATGACCAAAACAAACTCATTGAAACATTTGAGTCCATGCTGACTTATAACAACCCCCGGTGGGTTTCTGAGATTGCCACTATTTACTGGAGTAAAAAGTCCTTTCTCCTGAAGAACTGCTGGTGGTTTTGAACTGCCAACCATGCAGAACACAGCCCAATGCATAACCACTATACCACTAGGGCTCCTCAACTCAATAGGTTTAATTTTTTTGGTTCTTTATCAATACAAGGACCCCTGGTGGCATAATGGCTTATGTATCGGGCTGCTACCCACAAGTCAGCAGCCCAAAACCACCAACAGTTCTACAGGAGAAAGATTACACTTTCTCCTGGTAAACAGTCTCGGAAACACACTGGGTTAGTCCTATCCTATCCTATCCTATCCTGAAGGATTGCTATGTGTCAGAATCGACCAAAGGGCACTGAGTTTTACTTTAGCAATAATATTTACTTCCTTATTTGCCTGTCTTTCTATTTTATTTATGGTTCTTTTACTCATCTAAAATTTACAGAGTATTAAAGATGAGGCTATATCTGATTCTGGGCAGATTACAGAAACCCAAAAGAGCAGTCCTACTCTGGGAATCACTTTGGGAATTATTTTCGCATGATTAGCCATTAGTTATTGAGTGTTTTACACCTTCTTAAAATGATCTAGAATATTCCATCTGAATTTTATTGTTTCTCTTTTCTATTTGTGTTCTAGCACCGTATTATTTTCCCAATTCTAACTAAATGCTTTATTACTTGATTCCTTCTTTTAATCTTCTCTTTCGAGATTTTCTTGGCTCTAACATAAACTCTTAATTGAAAAGCTGAATTTAGAGAGTAAATGGGCAAAGTTGGTAGTTTTGTTATTTTGCATCTACCCTTCCTTATACAGAATGTCAACACCTCCATTATTTTAAGGCTCGCTAGGAAGAAAAATTAGATAGTTCTGACCACTACAGATGGAGGAAAGATAACAAAATGTAAAAAGATCAAATGAACCTAAGATATAACTCCTGGTTTCTACATATCCAGACTACTCATAAAAGAGAAAACCAGAAAAAGAAGAAATTGTCCATTCTACTAATAGTCTACATGAATCAAAACCATCCACTCTCAGACCAGAAGCACTAGATGGTACTCAGCTACCAATACCGATGGTTCTAATCAGGAACGTTAAGAGATGATACTGACAGAATGAGAGTACAAGGTGGAACTGAACTCAAATTCTTAAAAAGCTCAGCTTACAGGACTGTTGAGACTAGAGGGTGCCTCAAGACTAGTCATGTGATACTATTTAAATCATAAGCCAAACTATTCCACAAGGTCATCTTTTAGCTAAATAACAGATTTGCTCATAAAATTAAAATATCACCTATGAGTCTGTACTCCTTGCTCCTTTAAAAAAATCCTCTATGTAAGACCAAACCATGAACATTTACTCGAGAGCAAAGATGGGAAGGCAAGGAGGGAGGGAAAGTGGGTTACTGGAGGTGGAAGAAACAGTGCAGAAATACCGGACAATTGAAACTGTAGGAAAAAAATTTGACTGAAGTCTGAAAAACTTGTGTAGCACTTGTTAACTGAGAACCCAATTTTCTGTAAAAAACATTTTAATACACTTTTTAAAAGAATATATACTGACATTCACCTAGCATTCCTTGTACACTCTTATTTGGGGGGAAAAAAAAGCATATTCTATATCCACTAACCTCTTTTGTTATCATCAACCTTTAATAAACTTAAGAACACTGGCCAAAATCACACTAATAATTTCCCCCTAATTTAGGATTTCTCCCCTAAATGAGCAATTATTATTCCCCCTAAATTAGCAATTATTATTAATTGCTGTCGGAATGATTCCCCCTCTTGGCAATCTTATATACAACAGAAGAAAGCGTCATCTGAGCTTGCATTATCTTCACAATCATAACCGTGTGTGAGTTCACAGTCCATGTCATCAGTCGTCCCCTTTGCCCCAGCCCTCTATTTCACTGAGCGTGATGTCCACCTTTCGTGAGTGCTTCCTCCTGATGACACGTTCAAAGACCGTGAGTTAGACAGTGTTCCTGGGATCCAGCAGGGTTTCATCGGCTAATTTTCTGAAGTAGATTGCCAAGCCTTTCTTCTTACTGTCTTCGTCTGGAAATTCTGCTGAACCCTGCCTACAGGTGACCTCACTACAGGTGACCCTGCTGATATTTCAAATATTCATGGCCTACCTTCAAGCACCAAAGTTTGACAAAGTGACAGATGTGTGGTACAGTTGGCAATAAAGGGCTATAAATATGAAGATAAGTAATGCTATAAAATTACAGAAAGTTTTATTAAACAAGATAGAAATGTTTCTTGATCTATCCTCCATCTAGGTTTATGTACTTATGAAGGCAATGTTTTAATCTCTAATCCTTCTGAGTAATTCTGCACTCTTTATTTTCTCAGTACCTATTTCCATTTTCATAATACAATGGAATATTAAAAAGAAAGAAAGATGGGGAACAGCAGAGATTAACTGTGATTGATTCTACTCAGAGTTAAGACAATGTTATGAGTCAATTGATAGTTTAAAAGAAATTAGGACACAGAGTCTAATCTAGATAGATGTGCACTGTTAAGCATAAGAAGGTAAAGTCTGGAGAAACGAGTTCATTCAATGCTGTAGTGACACAGAACAAAGACCCCTGGTGTGACGTATAGATCAGCTCATGGCTTCAGGTGGTGACTCAGCTCAAAGCTGAGTGTAGCAGTAGATTCAAGTACAGAACTTGGGAGGCATGAGCACAATCAGACTGGTCACTTACTGTAACTTCCACGGTGTGGTGCTTACAAAATGGACATTCCTCAATGTAACCTTGTGTACCAGTTCTTCTCAGAGCTCGGCCAGCTCCTCCTATTTATGTTCATCGTCCCATTGCCTGATGTCTGCTAAGAACTAGACTTTATGGGTTTCTATCTCAGTACGTTCTTTTCCAGCCCCAGTCACTCGTGGGCTCTCTTTGCAGTAGACAGTTGGAAAGGTACCTGGATTAGAGAACCACTAAAGCTTTCATCTCGGGAGCAATGGATCCTAGAAAACAACGGTGCTTGGATAATCCCTGAAACAAACTGCTTCTTCAATCCTTTCAGCTCTTCCTGCAGCCAGTGTTTCCAAGTGTGCATCTTCAAAGGCTCAACCTCTGGGATGCAGGTTTCACCCTCTTCACTGGTTGATTGGTGCCAAAACAGGGCAAGGGAGGTGCCTTGAACTTGGGTATCTCCCCTACTTGAATTTGGGCATTTTACACCACAGCAATATGGCAGTTTTGGAATCCTTAATAAACTCAAATCATGTTCTTCTGAAACAATGAGTATGGGGAACAAACAGAGAAATGTGAAGGGGCAAGCTGTACAATCGATAGGGTAAGGTTTCCCTCCACAAATCTTGTAACCTTGCAGATTGAGGAACATTGTTGTAAGGGGGGTAAAAAAAATCACTTGGTACATTTTCTTGGGCCTTTTCTCACCAATGCAGTTTAACATTTTCTTAAAATTTCTTCATAATGAACCCTTGTTGTCCTGTGTCCTTCAAAAACAATTCTACCAGCATTATCCATTTGGAATGCCAGAGCACAGTTGTCATGGCCTTTTCACAGGAAGTTACACAAGTCTTTATTTTTTGCTTCAATTGTCTGTTTCATCTAAACTTTACGCAGTGAAGAAAAACTGCACAACTTCATTTGTGAATCATGGTGTATAAGTTTTCACATTTCAACCGACAGTTAATGAACCCCATTACCTTCTGTCCTCGCTTCACCGGCTGGCCGGCTGGCACGCTTCTGCTTGTGTTCTGATGTGTCTCCCTCTCCTGGTCCTTGCCCTGCGTCTCTTCTAGAGCCCCAGAATCATCTGGAAGCTTTTTCTTCTTCATTTCTCTAAAAAGAAATGAAACAGAAACATGTAAAATGCATAAAAGAACATGGTTTCTCCTTGACAGTCACGCATTCTCCATACAGGAAAAAGCCAAAACATTTCATCTTTCATAGATTCATCATTCTTTCTAAAGTCCAAGAGAAATACGCCGTCATCCTGGTCTTATTCTTAATCACCAGCCATATTTAGTCCTAAACACTCTGATGGCCAGTGACAGGAATTTATGGTCTTTCTATTGACAACCAACAAACCAAACTCACTGCCACCTAGCTGATGTCGATTCCCAGTGACGCTTTAGGACAGGACAGAACTGCCTCTACAAATTTCCAAGACTGACTCTATAAGAGCAGAAAAACCACACTCGCGCCCCGCCACACACACAAGATTTTAAAAAATAGAAAAATTGTAGAATATCTGGCGCGGCGCGGGGAAAAAGAAGAGGAAAATGGGAAAAAAAAAAGATAGAGACAATCACACCAAAATCACATACACTTTTCATGCGCAATCTCTTTTTATTCTAGTGCCTCTGTGTTTAGTTCAGACTCCCTCGAGTGACCCCTCCACCCACTTACTTGTTCTGCATACCAAACCAAACCCAACCAGCTGGCATCAAGTCCGACTCACGGCAACCTCGTGTGCTGCAGATAGAATTGCACTCCATTGTGTTATCAAAGCTGGGACCTTTTGGAAACAGAGTGCCAGGCCTTTCTTTTAAGAGAACTCTGATTCGGTTTGAACTGCCAATTGTCCACGTTGCAGTCCAGTGCACAAGTGTTTGTGCTACCCAAGGAGTCCGATTTGTACATACACTTCCTTAATGATCTTCCTTAGTGGTTTACCAAAGTCCTTAGGCTTGTCATACAAAGTTCTCAAATTATGGTCCAAATTCATTTATCTAAACTTAACACCTACCAGTTGACAAAGATGAACTTTCCACTTCTTTCAATTTTAATCTATTTATCAAAGTCCTAAGCTATTTTCAAGGTGTACTTCTGATTGTATTTTTCCAAACATGTCAATTCCTGCGACTCTTGAACCAGTGAACTAACTCCTGAACTACCTTTTAATATTTCTTGGATGTTTATGGCCATTTCCTGAAAACAGGCCTCTAAGGCGTCTCAAAGACATAGACTTTCTATTTCCTTCTTTATACAGTTATCACCTAGCACAGTGCCCGGTCCTCAGAGTTCATGCTCAATGTTTAGTAATCGCTTTTCTGAAACAAAAGGGGCTTATTGTCCCTTCTGGCCCAAGGGACAAGCTTTACTATTCCTCATCTTCCTTGTGGCACAGAAAGACTGTCATCTCAGATGGCCCCTTCCTCCTGTCCATGCCTTTCTACCTGCCTCCTGAGATATGCCATGTGGGGGGTGGGGGGGTGGGGGAAACGACTCTCTCATATGAAACTTTTCCTAATTAATTTCACATATCCCTGTTTATTCCTGTAAATATGCTTCTAGAACTACACTATTTAATACAGTCAGTATTAATGTATATATTTTTTGTAATGACAGCTTAATTTATGCCACCAGATATAGGTTACTGATTATAGTGACAGATTAAGGTGCTACATTTAAAATGCTAAACTTTGATAATTTTAATAAAGGAATTCTTTAGGATAATCAAGTGATTTATAAAAAAAAATCATGCTTTTCAGTTAGATAACTCAAATATGTTTACCTTCTTTCCTTGGCTGACAAATGTCTCCGGCTCTGTAATTTACTGTCACTCTATTAAAATTGAAACAGAAAAACAAGCAAGTACAAACAACAATGTAACTACTATTAATTTTCTGATTGAACATTCTCAGTCTAATTCCTAGAGTAGCATTTACAAAACAGAAAAGCATTTCCCTCCTTGAGACGGGTATGCTGCTTTTCAAACACCTTGAAAACATCTCACCAAGTTAGGAGCTTCCTCTTTTGAAGATAATTTATGGAGGGGCCTGGGAAAACAAGCAAAAAGAGGAATCTGCTATTACAAAAGATTGATATAAAGTCCCAAAATATTCCCATTTAACACTCTTAATTAAAGGCAATCCTGTAACTTTCAAATTTGGTAATGTAAGAAAAATATCATCAAATTGCTCATTTTCATACACACCACATATTTTTAAACAGCTGACATGCATTGAATATTTAGCATGTCTGGCACTACTAAATGCTCTACATGCATTTAATTTTCCCTAAGAAACTGCTGAATACGACTTTTTAATCAAGAAGGAAAAAATGATGGTGAGGTGATATAACAACTTGCCCAAGGAAATGGGTGTGGACTTAATTTTGGCTTGACTCGTCTAAGTCTTAACAATCCCAATGATAACACTTTTATAACTGTGATATTATCTTGGTAATCAAGAGACTTTAAAGACAAAATGGAATTGTCAAAAATACTCAGAACCACTAAAAAAATGGAATTCTTTATTATGAGCATTCTAGCTATTTACTTTGACCTAATTTGGCCACTCTACATTTATTATTTTTCTATCTGCAGTTCTGGGAATATCATTGGAGAGATTCACCTCCCAATCAAATGGTGAGAAAACAAGAAGGCCACAGAATGAAAGGTAAAAATACTGAAATCGGTTTTGGCATTATCTTCATCAAGGTTTGCTCACCTAGAGTGGTTTTAAATTACCTTTGGGTCTGGAGATGGGACAAGTCAATGGTAGTGTCAGGATAACTTAATGTCTCTCCTTCTTCATCTTTCATTTCACCAATTGGTTCCTCATCTTTTACCACCTCTTCAGATTCTCCTTCATCCTCTGAACTTTCTTCCTGAATCAGTTCCTCCTTTAGATCATCTCCACCACTCTGAACAGTACTGGCCTCTTGGTCAATCTGAGTCATGAGTTCTTCTTCAACAGGCGTTTCAAGCAGTTCCTCTTTATCCTCCTCACTGCTACTATCACCTCCATCTGTAAAATCATCATAAGCAAAGTCAGAGTGGGACTGGCGATTTCCTTGAAAATGTCAAAAATTGAAAAGAAAAAAATGCTATTCATTTAGCCTATTCCCCCTCAAAATCAGACAATTTCCTGATTGTCTTCACATGATACTCTCAGAACAAAGAATTATCTGATTCATGAATATGTTGTACAAAATGCTCTCCAAGATGCTTTAACAAATAAATTTCTTAGACACTGCAACTATTTCTCTAAGATAAACCTTAACTCACTTTCATTAGGTATTTTCAAAGAGTAAGTCAATAAAAGTAGTTCTATAAACCAGTTGCTTTTATTAAATTTGCATAAGAAATTAACTGAGATAATGCTAGCAGATATTGGTACTTTTGCAAAAACAAAATACTGTGTAGTACCGTATACCAATAGTAATAATAGTCTTTTGAGTCACAGAGCAATAAAGCTGAGCTATATAATTAACCAACCACATGGATGATCCAAAACAAACTGCTTTTCTTAAGTTCAGTTGGATCACTTATAAAACAAGATGTCATCACCTATTCTGAGACTCAAAAGAAAAAAATAATGTACTTAAAGCATTTCAGTGTTAGGGAGATGGGGAAATTCACTAAGTAGAGCATTACACTACTAGTCATAAATGTAGTTTTATAGCTCCTCTAAATAGGAATGTAAAGGTTTCAGCAACTATTGTTGCTTTTTACTTGAAGCAAATATATTAAGTCAAATTCTCCTATGACAAATTACTTGTTTGAAATTCACCTTTGCATCACTTCTCATACTTAAACCCAAAAGTAAATGCCAATTCATTTACATCTAGGTTTATGTGTTAAATATTTTGCATTAATTGAACTTGACATTTAATTAAACATATACTGAACTGTAATAGTATTAGGCTCCAATTAAATGGCTCACAGTTTACCAGAATAAGTATTTTATTAAAAATCTGCGTTCGCGCTCCCGATTAAATCTTTCTAAAGAAAAACAAAATCTGTGAGGGAGGATGTCCAGTTGTCTACAGATGGGCTTTGGCTATCCATTCTGACTCCCCTCGTTCACACTGAAATGGTTGGCTGTTTGGGATCTTCTGATACCTGCTACCTGATCCTGTTGAAACCTCGTGATCACATAGGCTGGTGTGCTTCTTCCATGTGGGCTTTGTTGCTTCCCTGCTAGAAGGCTGCTTGTGTTTAACTTTAAGCCTTTTAAGACCCCAGACGCTATATCTTGTAAAAGTCGGACACCATCAGCTTTCTTCACATTAACTTGTGCACACATTGTGTCTTCAGCAATTGTGTAAGGAAGGGAGCATCACAGAAGGCCATTATTAGAAGAAACTGTTCTTGCGTTGAGGGAGGACTTGAGTAGCGGCCCAATGTCCGTCTGCTACCTTAATAGTCAACCTATAAATATATGTACATAGATCTATATCCCTATAGTTGTATATTAATATATTTACATATGTACATGCCTATGTTTATACCTCTATAAATAATGTCTTTTGCCTTCTAGTTCTTTCCTCTATTTCCCTTTACTTTCCTCCAGTCCTACTATCATGTTCGACCTTCATTTGGCTCTCTGTACTTCCTCTCAGCTATATTGCACTTGATAGAACCCCTTGCCATCGATTTTAGATTTCTTGTTGTTCCATTGTCCCTGGGTTTGTTGGCTCCCCCTCCCTTTCCCCCACCTCCTCCTCTCCCATGTCCCCCCGGAAGCATCAGTCCTGTTGTTTTCTCCTCAGGATTGTTTGTCCTTCTTATCTTATATAGATTGACATGGGGGAAAAAAGAAAAGCGAAACAAAAACTGGCCTATGAATAGTTCCAGGTCTGTCTGCTGATCCTTATGTTTTCCGATCAGGTCTGATGCAGTGCCAAGCCCTGTCCCCGGTCCAAAGTCAATTTTCAGAATTCCTCAGGGACTTTGTTGTTTTTCTCCCCATGCTGCTGTAGATAATTGGACATCCCCTCACAGAAGGGTCATGAGGAAGGGACAAGCCAGCCAGGGTGGAGTATAGCACCAACAAAACACTTAACATTCCTCTAGTACTTTAATGCTTCCTCCCCACCACTATCATGACCCCAGTTCTACCATACAAATCTGGGTAAACCAGAGCATGTACACTGCCACAGCTAATAGCTCTCAACAAACAGAATCCAGTACAGATAAACCCCTCAGGACCAATAATGAGAGGAGTGATACCATGAGGGTAGAGGGAGGTGGGGGGGAGAAAGAGGGAATGGATAGCAATGAACAGTGTACAAGCACCTCTCCCCTGGGGAAGGAACAGAAACATGGAGAAACATGGGTGAAGGGAGAAAGCGGAGTGTAAAATATGAAAATTATAATAATTTATAATTTATCAAGGTTTCAGAAGGGTGGGAGGGTGGGGGAACGAGGGGAAAAAGGAGGAGCTGATACCAAGAGCTCAAGTCGAAAGAAAATGTTCTGGAAACATCGATGGCAACATATGTACAAATGTGCTCGATACAATTGATTATGGACTGTTATAAGAGCCCCTAATAAAATGATTTATTAAAATAAAATAAAAAATGTTGAACATACCTAGTTGTTCCAGTTCTTCTGATAGAAGTTCCCTTGTGCAACTTGTGAGTGTCTCTATGTCTTCATCCTGCACCCTGACTTTCCGTTCACCCCGGTGCCTCCAGACACAAGACTCATCTACCTGTAGAAACAATGTTTCCATTGATGAAGCTTTAGTAAGCCTAGTAAAAATCAAAAGAAAAAAATAACCAAGAAGCCAAAGAGTACCTTAAAGAGGAAGCTAAATCCCATCATTAGATATGAAGGAGGAAGAAAATTCTTTTTTCCTATAAAACAATACACACAGATATTTGTTTGTTTTTTCAATTTTTCTTTGTAAAATCCATCACCAACAATCACATTAGTTTTGTCCTCTACTCTGTTCATGAAGGAACATACCCTATTTACAAAATTTGGTATTAGGTATGTGAACAGTGCAAAGTAAACTATACATGCATGCTCTCATTTAAAAAATCTCCAGATACAGAATTTCTTGCTAGAGTTTATATTGCTATTCTAAATATTGGTGCAATTTTTGCTTTGTTAAATATCAATTTGTGTGGTATGTTAATAAAAGAAATTCATTATTTGCTTTAAAAAAATACAGTAATCTATTTTCAAGGAAAAGATCTATGCTTCCCACATTAGTAGGCCACTGGAGATCCCCTTGCAGAGGGGTCTCGGGGAGGAGATGAGCCAGTCAGGGTGCGATGTAATAATGATGAGAAATACAACCTTCCTCTAGTTCCTAAGGGTTTCCTCCCCGCTCCCACTACCATGACTCGAATTCTATCTTGCAAGACTGGCTAGATCAGAGGAGGTACACTGGTAGAGATAGGAACTGAAAATACAGGGAATCCAGGACTGATGAGCCCTATAGGACCAGTGGTGTGAGTGGCAAAACAGGGAGGGTAAAGGGAGAATGGGTAGGAAAGAGGGAACCGATTACATGGAACTGTGTGTGACCTCCTCCCTGGGGGACAGACAACCGAAAAGTGGATGAAGGGAGACGTCGGACAGGGCAAGATATGACAAAATACCCATTTATAAACTATCAAGGGCTCATGCGGGAGGGGGTAGCGGGGAGGGAGGGGAAAAATGAGGACCTAATGTCGGGGGTTTAAATGGAGAGAAAATGTTTTGAGAAACGATGTACAAATGCGCTTTATACAATTGATGTGTGTATGGATTGGGATAATAGTTGTATGAGCCCCTAATAAAATGTTAAAAAAAAAAAAAAAAGATCTATGCTTCCTTAGAAGCCCTGGCAGTATAATGTTAAAGCACTCTGAGGGAGGAAAGATGTGGCAGTGTGCTTCCATACAGATTTAAAGTCTAAAAAATGCCATGGTGTAGTTCTCCTCTGTTTTATGGTTGCTATGAGTCAACAATGCCTTCTTGTCACTTTAACATTAAATTATGCGAAAGCACATTTCCATTGGTAAAACTATATATGAAGATGACATAACAAATTAAATTGGCCTCACAAAGGCAAAACTTTCCTTATTTCCTAAGCGACTTCTTATATAAAGTCAGTGCCATCAATTTCTGTTTAGTAGACGGTCCTCAAACTTGTCTCCAAATTAATCCACAAGGTTAGGAGTTTATCATGTCAAGCCATTACCTCTTATCATGAAACTTCCTGTTGTCAAATATTCTCCAGTTGGTGCTGTTTTGGACACCTGAAGGGCACAAGAACACATTACACTCAATAAACTTTTCAGTTTTCCACTCAGAAATAGAATCAAATTCAGGTAATCAGCAAGCACTGTGCATTTTGAACAATTTATGGAACACAGCAAAAACTGAAGGGGTAGCTATTCTTCAGACACATGTCTACCATATAAATATCCTAGGACTAGATCTAAAAATCCAAACTCACTGCCCTCAAGTTGATGCCGACTCACAGCAACCCTAAAAAACAGGGCAGAACTGTCCCTGTGAGTTTCCAAAACTAACCGTCGACAGGAGTAGAAAGCCCGTCTTTCTCTCAAGGAGAGGTTGGTGGTTTCTAACTGCTGACCTTACAGATCACAGCCCAGTGGGTAACCACTACACCATCTAGAGTTGGTCTACATGTTTTCTAAGGTGTGAGATATGAGAAAAATAAGGATTGTTTATTAAGCTTTATTATATAAAAGTCTCTTCAGATATAACTTTCTTTGTGTTAGCCTTTCACTTTAGGATAAAAAGTTAAAAGCAGACTTTTAAAAATATTTTATTTCACAAAATAGAAAATGGGCAAATTTATTCTGTAATTTTGAAGTCTGTGACACTCCAATATCTGAGAATATCTGTATTAATCATAAATAGTTGTCATAACAATATGAGCCTAAAAGCACACTAAACCTAAGGGAGAATAATGGTATTGAATGCTCCTTGTTCTTCAGCATAGCTTTAGGATTTTGTGTAAATACACTGTATTTATATCATCATTAGCTGTAATTCTTGAAAGTGTGAAAGTCAACAGAACTATAAATCAAGTAAAATAGCACGGACAACAAGGAGAGCAATTACTAAAGCCAAATAAATTAAAAACCACTGGATATAACCTATGAAGGGATTTCCAAAAGTTCATGAAATAATTTTCCCATGAACTTTTTGAAGCCCCTCATACATCCCAGGTAGAGCCAGAGAGAATTCATAAAATGCCAACAAAGAATTCTGTTCCTGTTTTAGGTCAGGAGGCCAGTCACACATAGGACACACTTCATCCAATATATCTGCTTGGATCACCCTCTCTGCTGAAGACTTATCTTCCCAGAGAGGTCTTTTCTTTGCACGTTTTTCTAATATGGTAGTGGCAGTCATTTTCTAAAGGAGCACTGGTGCTGCTGTGGGCTAGGCGTGGTACTAGTTCGGCCATTGAATCCACAACTAGACCATTCAGTTCACCAGCTGTTCATAGAAGAAAGTTGAAATTGTCTGTTCCCACATAGCATTACCATCTTGGAAACCCTATGGAAGGCTGCTATGAGTCGGAATCAATTCACTGGGATCATTCTCTAAAGGAGTCCTGGTAGCACTGTACTTAAGGCATTTGGTTACGAACTACAGAGTTGGTGCTTCAGACCCACCAGCAACTCCACAATTGAGATTTGAGGCTGTGTGTTAGTCTCAGAAACCCCCCAAAGGGTCACTATAAATCAGAATCAACTTGATGACAATGGGTTTGGTTTGGTATCATTTTCTAAGCCCACATCCCATTTTCATTCTTACAGCGCTTGGTATCTGATGTTAGGTTTGTGACTATCATCAAAATGTAAGCACCATCAAGACAGGTACTTTGCCTGCCTTGCTCACTTATGCACTCTCAAATATTAGCACAGAGTAGCTCTTAAATATATTAAAAGCTGTAATTATTACCTGATGATGGTACACCCACCAAGCACTTGTGATAACTCGTGCATCCCAAGCAGCACTATAGCAAAGTGCCATTGTGCCAGCTTCCGTCAGGGTCCGAGGTGGGATTGGCTCTCCTGCAAGAACAGTGCTAGCATTATTCAACTACCAAAATGCAAAATCTCTACCAAAGAGATATAGAGATCATATAGTGTTAAAAGTTTGAATACCTTAAATACTAATACTCTATTTTTACTTCAATAGTATAAAAGTTTCTATTTTTATAAAAATGCATTTGCATGGGGTGTTCACTTTTAAACAATCTACTTATAAAAAGTTAGAGAAAAGACATTCTCTCACTTACATGAATAAATCTAATAATTACCAAAAGAATGTAGAAAAAAATCTGAAGTTTAAAGACCTTGAGAATTAACACAGACTATTGGAACTATCAAGACAAAAACCATATGAATAATATATACCTTATGGCTAGATTTAAAACATTTTTCTTAGATATAAATCAAATACCATAAAAATTCACCTTTGAAAATATAAAATTTGGTAGTTTTTAATATATTCTCAAAGGTACGTATCTGGTCTGGCTCAGGGCCCAAAGTTGGGTTTAGTATCAATGGTGAAACCATGGAAGTCTAGTTATTAGGCTTAAAAGTTTTCCTGACTCTTTGTCAGATTAAGAAGGTGACATGCAAGGCTTTCAAACTGCTACAAAATTGCCTAAAAGAATTATAGCCCAGAAAAGGAAAAATTTCCCCAAATTCCAACAAACATTGGTTAGGAAAAGAGCTGACTTTATTTCCTTGTTGATCTTTGGCCTAGCTTTATATCCATTATTGGAAGTGAGGCACTGAAATCACCAACCGTTATTGTTAAATTATGTTTCTCCCTGAAAATCTATTATTTGATCTATGTATTTTGGGGGTCTATTGCTAAGTGCACATGAGTTTAAAACTGTGCTATCTTTTTGATGGGTGATCCTTTTATCATTATAAATGTTCTTTTTTGTCAATATAGATAGTTGCATTAAAGTTAGACTATAAATGTTTTAAGGAAATAAACTAAGGTTTTTAAAAAGAGAAAGATATTACCTGTTGGGTTCTTAATTACACAGCTGGTTGCACCATGAAGATCAGCATGTACATAAATGTCCCCTTTAATAAAGACAAATTATAAACAATAAGCCTGGTTTCTAAATGTGGGAAGAAAAAATAGTTTTCAATTTTTAGCACTAAAATTTAAGAATTTGATCTGCAATAATTTTAGAGGAGTATAAGCACTTTGTTAATGTAGTAAAGAATCAAAAGTCCAACACTGCAGATTAGCTCAGCCTTCTTGTTTTAAGAATAACATTTCAAATGAGAATCGATTATCAAAGCAAACAACGAATGAACCATACATAGTCAAGCACCAAACTATCTTTCTACCAACTAAATCTGTTATCCAGAAGCATATACAGTGAACCCTCGCCACTTCGCGCTTTGACTTCCGCGGCTTCACTCTATTGCGGTTTTTGCGTAACAGCGCATGCTCTGTCATTACTGCCACTGATTGGCTCATACTGTACACGCTTCTGTCTGCATCACTACGTA